TTCAGTTAAAAGTTTATAAACAAATCTTGTGTTTCAAGTCACTGCTGACTTTGCAAGTATACAAGCCAGTCCCTATAAATAAAATTAAATATGGAAAACAAATGAAATATGTCCTTTGTGAACATTTTACTGATACTGATTTGTTAATTAACATTTTTAATATGTTAAAAGAAAATGTAATTGGGTCAGCATTTGCTGTTGCAAATTAATAATGTTGGCCAAAGGTGTGTACTCTGTAAATATTTTGTTAAATTTATCTTAGTAGTATTTATGTCATGCTAACAGCAGTGATTTATTTTACCAGAACTTTGGGTTGTGATTTATCAACCATTTTGTTTTCAAAAGGAAGCAGATTGAAACTCCACCTCCCAAAAAAAAACCAAGTGGAACCAGCCCTTTGTGTTTTCTAATCAAGGTTTGGATAGAGAGCAGATAAGTTCAGCTAATTAAATGGAACGCTGACACTCAAATGTTAACAGCACTGAAGTCTCACCATTAGATCAGCTCCCTCTTCCCCACAGGCCGCTTTTCTGGCTGCTGAGCAGGCCTGGTTCACTGGAGTGGAAGGACCCGGAAGAGAGGGCAGCCGATACATCACCCTCTCCCCCTCCCTGTTACTCATTACCACACAGACCACAGACTCTGGACCGCCATGTACATGTGCTGCAGCCACTTTAATCTGTCTCAATCTGAGAGCCCTCGGCTGTCTCTGCTTTCACAACGAGCCTATTTAACATGATGGGAAGCTGGAAAAGCAGCTGAATGAACTGTAGATCTCTGGAGAGGCAAGGAGTAACATGCTCCCACACACAGTCTCAAAAGCAGAATACACACTCATACACACCTGCACGACAAACAGCAGATATGCAAGTACACACACAGACACACATGCACCTACACACTAACATAACAGTCCCAAACACACAGATCAAAGTCAGATAGACTTTGCGATTGAAGTTGCAAAATTCTTAGACAAACCTATCATTATATCCCACAGAACCTTCACTTCTTTACCGCGGTTGGAAACCTTCTGCAGACCTTGCATAAGACGATAGCGAATTTATGAGTTTAATATTATACATTGTAGTTATATAGCTACTGCATTGGTTTGCTTTTGCATTTTCTTAAACAAAAGTAATTCAGACCACTCTGGAAACAATGGCGATCAGAGACCAGTGGCCCACAGGGGACACCAGCTAAATTGACACAGTTGTGTTTGGCAGCTTAATGAAAAAAACATGGACAGGGTGGCTGCTCCTAATTAAGCGCAATCCTAATTGGGAGCATTTTAACCCTTCATTTTAAATTAATGGGAATTCTATTAGCTTTTAATGACTTTTCTGCCCTGAGCTCTCTTAGTTTCTGACTCTGACAATAATGCCCAACTGAAGACTCCTACTGTTATTGCTTCAGTCTTAAGATCTTCACTTAACTTACGATATAAATGTTCAGCGTTACACTCAGTCTGCCATATGTTGGAGCTGTTATATGAAGAAAGGGATGTGTGGGCTACCAGTGTCATGGAAAGGCAACTGTTTCTTACAGCATGAATGTACTATAATTGGTTATTTAACTGAAGTGAAAGTGTTTTTATTAAAACAAAGACATTTCAAAGTGTACTGTTCTTTACCTGCATCATTATCACTGCTCTGAGTCTTAATGAAAAACATGTTTAGCAAACAAAACAGCATTAAAAAAAAAGATTAATTATACACTGGCATATATACAGTGTGTATTTGCCTCCGATTCATAAGGCCACAACAACTTAAACTTAAATAAAAACATAGATAAACACCTTTAAACATTGTTGAATGATCCACATGACTTGAGCTCAAATGATTCAGACACCCAAAAGTGAGCCTTTAGAGTTAGCAGCATTGATAATTATGAGTAAGAGAATCTCTATTTCTCACTCAGATGTAATAATACAATTCTTCTAGCATGTTCAACCATTTTCGTACATTCAGGATTCTGTCCTCAATCATATACATATGTAATTTTGCCCATGGCAACCTTTGCCTGTGCACTGTCAAATCTTTTGTCATCTATAGATAGATAAATAGATAGATATATAAATAAAATATAAGTCAGGTGCATATGAATATGTCTGTGTGTTTGTGTGTGTGTCACAGCACTAATCACACTTCATATCTAAACTTTTACATGTACATGAGTGCATTAGTACATGTATCTCCCTTACAGTTTGTGTGTACAAGATTTAATCACACAGAAACATTTTGCATTTACAAGCACATCCATATCAGTGTATTTGTACAGGTGCTTGTTTATGTGCTTCTGTGTGTGCTACACACACAATGAGTCACACACTATATCAACTGATAAGCTGTTGACCCGTGCTAATGCAGGTTTTGGAAGAGCCATTTGTAGAGCAGGGAGCTCTCAAGTTGGACTTGACACACATTTTCATAATAGCTCAGAATACAAGTGGAGAGCACGGCCCGGATGGAGAAAATGCTACGCTGTAAAATGTGTGAACACGTCTGTTTCTGGTTTAATAACCTGCAGCGGCATAAAGAGGATTTGATCATTTGACACACTGCTGCTCTTATTTCCACAAAAGGGATTATGTTTGTATTTGTGGTTATTTGGGACCTGGGAGAAATGTGGAATCCTTTAGAGGAGACTCAGTAATGCGAACATAGAACTTTGGTCTACAATAGTAACAGCAAATTAATGCTAAATATGCAACAAGTAACTTTTTTTTTTAAAACCCAACAGGTAAATTTAGCCTGGGTTCCGGCACACTTCCATCTGCATATTGTGGGTCTAAAAAACAGACATGTGATGTTGGTTTTACGCCTTGGGATGGGTTTGGGCTGCAACATGTTGTTATAGTTGTTTTGTTATTAGGGACTACATTACCAAACTAGAACTTGGTATACTGTTTTAAGGCATGTTCCAGAAACCACTGGAAAACTGTGCTCCCTTTGATCAACTAGTGGCTCAACAGGTTACTAAATTTTATGGTTGTCCTACAAAAAAAAAGGAGGCTGAATGAGATGTGAAAAATCCCAAAGACTGTCTTTTAAAAAAAGCTAAAAACATGGATCTGTACATCCAAAATTTTCATCCCACTTGGCAGCAGATGTCAGAGGGATTTAATGTTTTGCTGATAAAGATTTAAGTTGGATGGATGTGTGGTAATGTGAAATTCACATTAATATTTTAAAATTCATACTGCAGATTTGTAAAAGTTTCACACATAGACACTGAGATTGCTGTGAGATTTACAAACTACAGGTTAATGCTAGTTCAAGTGCTTTTTATGGCACATGTACATTGTCAAACACACCGTATAATTCCTAGATTCATACCCTCCCACACACACAAACACCCCTCTCCCTTATGTCCACTGCTTGTCCATACTCATTATTTACACTTGGGTCTGTAATTGCAGTTGATATAAATATATTTCATCTCTTCATACTCTAAACTCCCACTTCCAGCCTTCCTCCTCCACATCCTAGCAGTTTAGCTGCTTGGATTTCTTACCCTCATTAAGAATATTGTTTCAGCTGGCAGGTGTCTGGATTTGCCACAGTCGTAGAATTAATTCAGGAGATAACAAAACATCCTAGACAGACTTTACTGCTGTGCTGGGTGTGGCATTCTGAAAATAAAAATACCAACTTCTAACACAGGTGCTCAGGTTTGGAACCACATAACTAGTTTTGTACATGTGTCATTTCTTGGTTTGCTTTGACTTTGATTTCGTCCCTTTCAAACTTATCCTCCACATTTCAAATGTTTTTCTCATTCTATAATCTGCAGGCAGACACATTAAAAACATTCTAACACTCCAAGTGCAGCATTCTGTCAAAACATAGAGCTCAGCACCCAAGAAACTGCTCTCTGATTTATGTAGATCTCATATTAAAGCCCCGCTGTGAAGCAGGCCTCATGTATTATTCACAGCAACGGCCACGTGTGTGTATTCGTATGTATGTGCTCAGCCTTGTCTTCGAGAAATTACATCTATATACAAGTAATTTGCAAAGGCAAATGCCGACCGTATTTGCTTATCTATTAAAATAACAAGAAAATCTTGTTAATTAACATACCTGGCATGTTGCAAAAATACACTGAATGTATCAATGTTCTGAGAATATATAATAAAAAATAATAAAAATCAGCAATGAATGTTCATTAACATTTGACGAAAATCACAATCTCTCTCAAAGCTTTAACCAAAATGCTTTTGCTGCATAAACCTAGTGCTAGTTATGTTTTCAGATTACAGCCACAGCCCCTCAAAATGTATTTGCATGTCCCTGTGACGACTGACAGGGACAGTAAGAAATAATAACACTGAAACTAGGCAGTTCCTCTCACAGGGTTTTGGAAAAACGGCAGTACTGCAGACATCAGTGCAGGATGGAATCACTCAATCATGAATACAGCATCTTTATTATTGTTCACATATTGTAACCTAATAATCCATAATACTTGTATAGATATAAATGCTTATTTTGCTTTTTTATTGCTCATTAATTGACTGATTAAACTGACTGTATCCCCAGTTCATAAAGTTTCAAACACCTGGGGCCAGATGGATAAAAACAATCCAATTTCACTGATTTTCTGATGATTGGGAGAGGGAGCGGGTGGTAGCTCAGTCAGTAGAAACTTGCTTTGGGAACCTGAGGGTGGCCAGTTAAAGTCCAGCTTGGACCAGCTTGGAGTGTGTATTGGTAGCTGCCAGTTCACCTCCTGGGCAATGCCAAGGTGCAAGGCATCGAAACCCTAACTGCTAAAGCGACAACTATGTGGAAGCCCCGTCACTCTGACATATCTTCAAATAAGGCATGTGTAGGTATGTGTCAGCATGTGTGTGTATTTTGGGGCTATGTATGTGGGATGAAAAATACCAACAGTCTAAATTTAATTTTCATGAATAATCTTTGTTTTTTCTCCAGTTCATCAACACAAACACACACATTGAGATCATTCTGCAAATAAAAGGGACAAGGGTGACTTACTATGGTGAAGTTCATGACCTTAAGGATCCAGATAGTTAGTGCCAAGTTGATCAGGATCAGGATCATCAGCAGCAGGACGAAGAAGTAAAGGCAGCGTTTCCTCCAGCCGTATATTCCCACTTTGTACACTTGGGGTTTCTCTGAACTCTGGACATTGTTCCTATGAGTGCACTGTTCTTGGGTCATCTAAGGGAGACAGAGAGAAAGAAGAAATGATTATGGATCACATCTTGATCACTGGCACATTTGCAGCCTGGTTTGCACGTTATTTACTTATACAGCTCTTTTTGGGCGATTGGGCAATTATGAACTGCTGTGCTTTGTGTGTGAATCACCACACAGGCTATTGTTTCATCTGTGATTTCACAGTTGTAGTGAGTGCTACAGGACATTTGCATTTAGTTAAAAGTGGATTTTTAGCTTTTTTGCCACTTGTTGGCTGTAAACACAACACTGACATATTGCCATATATAACGCAGTAATGGCGAATATGTGCAAAGTTTCCTACTTAAACATGCAGTAGAGACAAAGCAAAATTATATTTTTTTTGAACCGCAACAACTGAAAGTGCGATATTAATTCCTTTTTTAGCTCCTCTTTGGTCTCCATCATCTCCTGAGAGGAATATCTGGCTCTTTGGCTGCTAAATGTTCCACTGTGTTCACCAGCTAGTTGCTAACTCTGCCTGTTTAATGTTTGGTGCTGGACTCTTTGCTTGTGACTATCATTAACAGCCACAATTTACAGTCTGTCTTTTTCTAGTCTGGCTTTTATGTATTCAGTGAATATAGATGCCCATTGGGCTTCCATGGTAGAGCCATCCATGATTGCTTTGAGATTTGTGATGCAGCTGTACAGACTCTGTAGAAAATGACCTTAAGGTAAGAGATGGGGCACATTTGAACATTAGTACAAATAACATGCCATAAACATTTCCTTCACATACTCAAATACTGACCAGCCACTCAGTTTGGGCACGATGAAAGACAGTTTAGTTAGCAATTGCATTGATTGATTGCCCGATAAGTGGTCTATAACTCCATTATTCCCCCTCTGCCCCATTGATGTGCTGATAGTGCCGATTAATGATGATTCTAATTGTCTGCCTGTGAAGACGAGGAGGCATTGTTCACTTCAAGCGCCATAATAATGGCCTAATAACTCTGTGGAAAAATACAATTTACTGTCGGCCGTGCTTTGGAGTGCGCGCCTCAGACCACCAAAGCCAATCGTTTTTGACAACCACGCACATTTCCTGCTAACTGAAACAAATGGCACAAGACAGGGCCCTGGTAAGAAAGTGCTGAAAGCTACAGAGGAGACTCCAAAGCACCAGTCAGCAAAAACAGGGAAATCTCATTGTGTACGGTTGGATTTTCATTTTTGTTTGATGGGAGATGCAGAGAGATGAAGAGGCATATATGTGTGATGTCTAAGCTGATAGAAAAGAGGGTTGTGAGAGTAAACAAAGCTAAAAAAGGCACAAAACGTTAATCTAAATTAAGACTGTTCTCACCAACTTCAACTGTATCAGTGCTTTTTCCAAAGATAACTTTAATCTAGACAAAAAAAGCCCCTACATTTCATTAGGGTCGCCTAGAGGCTGCAATATTTATTACGCTCTGAAGTGCGTACATCTTAAACCGAACCAACAGTGACTTTGCCAGAGCCTTGTCAGTTTTAGTCCTAAAAATGTAAAGTTTTTGTGGCAATGTTTCTGTTTCTGTTGTTCAGGCTCTGGTGAGGCTCTCTCTTTTCTTTTTTTTTTCTCGCCTTTAAAGCTCTGATTGGCTCACATGTTTTTTTTTCAACCAGGGAAGCAGCCATGAATGTACAAAACCTCTTTTAATAAAACTTTTTAGAATCGCTCTCACCATAGAGGTATCTAGGTTTGATCTCACAGTTTAACTGCAGTGCCTGATCACTCAGTATGTGTGTTTGATTCAGACTTATTCAAATACAAACACAAATACAATGACAAACAGCTGTATCAGCCAAAAGTAAGTCAGCCTGTTTGATCAGCTCTTTGGCAAAATCCAGAGAACTGCAGCCTGTGAGTGGGGATTAATAACGCACTTGATCCTGCCTCACACTTTCTTTTATGCAAGCACCTGCCACAGCTCAGGCCTTCCAAATGTTGCTGTGAGTCATGGCAGACAGACTGTGCTCACCATGGAACAAACCGCTGTCCTGTCCAATCACCCGTTTGAACAGGATCCAGTTCAGCTGACAGGGCTACTGTGACATTTGTTTACACCAATAAGTTTGATTATGAAAAACCACACACAAGATACGAACGCTGATGGGCAGGTTTTCCATTTCCTTTCTCTAGATTTGTTTTTTTTCCCTTTTATTTCTTCTCGTCTGGTGTGACAGGCTTAGATAAACTGACCCTGAAACTGATATGAAACAAAAATTTAAAAATGAAACAGATCATGTCAGTAAAATTTGGCATGCCGATGGCAGCAAGAAAAAAGAAAAAGACATGCAACATGAAAGTTCTGAGAAGAGTTTGGAGAACAGCAAATCCCTAAAATCCCAAAAGAAAAGTGAGGATATATAGAACATCTAATTCCCCATCAAATCCTTGGCCCAGTGAATATGTTGAAACTGAGAGGCATTTTGTATTTTTTATTAATTTATTATTATTAAACAATGTTACACTTACTGACACGGCCTTGTAAAGAGCTGCTGAAAAATCAAGATCTGCCTTTTTTCTCCAGGTTTTCGCCTGTTTACTAGAAAAGCTTAATTACTGTAAATTTCCAACATCTGTAGTTAGATTTTATGGCAACATTACATGACCGATGAAAGGAATGAAGTCAAATGAGCTACAGTCGGTATTTTCAGAAATAAGGTCACTGTGTTATAAAAATGGCATTTATTTAAAATAGATGAATAAGTGCTTTTGTGTAGCCCTAAAAAAATCTGAATTTTTTTTAATAAAAAATGTCCTTGAGGAGAGGAAAAAGAACAAAGCTAGAATAAATAAATAAAAATAAAAGACAGAATACTGCAGAAGCTGCCAAGCGTCTCCAGGTGTTGTGAAGACGACAGAATCAGCAGCTTGGCAGGAGAGCAGTGCTCACATTGACACCAGCATTAGTGTCACCTGCTCACAAGTAAGATGGAGAAGTGTGTATATGTGTGTGTTCATGCGTTCATGTGTAATTGTGTTACTTCTAAGGTAAGTTTTTACTTTGACGCAGTTTGGTAGTACTATATTTGATAGAAACTTTACTATAAATCCCCCCTCCAGTAAGTGTTTGCGTGTGTATGACTGTTAGCTTGAGTATCCTGCACTCCTTCGGAGAGCTAAAAAAATGCCATACGTCACTAAGATACAGTTAAATCCATGAACGATGAGGCCAGTGATGCTCGGTCAACATCCACAACAGCAATAGTGGAAAGATAAACTAAACTATCATGTTGCTGCACTAAAGAAAACCACTCTGATCTGATACATGGTTTGGTTTAGGAACAAATTGCAATTTTGCCAAATGTAATAACTTAACTTAATTAAGGTCTAGTGTGTAATATTTAGTGGCATTTAGTGGTGTAGTTGCAGATTGCCACTCCGTCGCATCACCCTCCCCTTCCAACCGAAAAGGAGAAACTAAGGTGGCCACGAAAAGCGCAAATACATATGATTTAAACATATAGCATAATTATACATTTGCTAAAATGACTGATGCAGTTGTTTTGGTTTGGTAATAATAAATAAAAGAACTATCATTGTATAAAAAAGTGAATTAATTATATTGGCAATGGCCATTTTTATTCTTTACTGGTTTCAATAATTAGTTACTTAGTGAAGAGTGCACATGGAAGCTATGTTTGCCAATATAATCAATAAACTGTTAGCCCTTATAGTTTATATTAATTAATAGTGTATATATATGTTTGAGAATTTTTTAATAGGTTTTATCATTTCTGAAGCAGTATCTGTGTCCATATTATTAAAACTACATTTATAGGCTCTAGTATACAAACATAAGCTTCTCCATTTTTCTTTGAAGTTGAAAGTAGTCACAGTTCTATGGACTGTAAAACTAATATTCATCATGAGATTGAATCGCCTACTGTAGCTTAATAAACAGACTGTAATCAGAAATCCAAACACAATAACAAATCAATAATAGTTTTCAAAGTTTTATGAACGTCGTCATTGCTTGATTAGTTTCTTATCACCACATGCATACTGTATTATATAGTGGATCTTCTCCCTCACAAAGTGTATCATAATTTAAATAAATGTACTGCAGTAATGAAATATAACTCTCTCCTCTGTGCTTTCTACAGACTCTGCCTCCATGCACAAAGAGTACTGATAGCTTTCCAATAAGCTCTTAGGCTAAAGGCTGACTGAGAAAAGAAAATGGTGCTTGGTTACAAGCTAAATAATGGCCACTCTCATAAGAGTGGAGGTGTGTGTGTGTTAAGAAAGCAGAGTTGAAGAGCCAGGGAGGAAGAAAATAAGTGGCAAATTGGAGGCAAATCAAATCATCGGCCTTTGAGTCTTTTTCCCTCCACTGCTGGTGTCCAACGGTGCCTCTCATTCAGCCAACTATTCATTCAGAGAGCCTGAAGAAAACCCAATGGTCCAAAAACAAAGTCTGTCTCTGATTAGAGAGAGAAATGAGGTTTTACAAAATGTTATTGGTTATTCCTGCTGCCAAATAGCCAGGCAGCTCCCCATTAGGACTTATATAGACAACATGTGGATCGGTACCAGGACCCGGGGGCTGCTGCCAATGGATACGCCATTACTGGGGCTCGCACGCCTCCAAATGTATGAATATACAAAATGGCCGACAGCCAGAGGCAGTTTATTGGCTGTTGCAATGTGTGTGAAATGGGCAAGTGGAGAAATGTGATTGGCTGACTCAGAAGTTACTAAACAATTCACTGACTGTTGGTTTAGGGTGATTGAACATAATCTTCAGTGGCTAATGTTAGAGGCAGAACCTATTACACGCTTTAGGGTTTATTTGGAAGTACTGCACAAAAAGTATGTTTGTCTCCTCCATACATGACTGTGCCTCTTTTCAGCAAGAAAATATGTGTGTTGTTCTTACATGTGTTGGTTTTCTTTATTGTATTGTGCACCCACCTTGGCCATTAACCAGGACTGAAGTGATCCAGTAAATACTGTCCTGAATTGCTCCCCACCACCCTCCCCATTG